ATTTCTTATATAAATATAAATTTTAATATAAATCTGATCAGTTTGAACACCAACATACACACACACATACACACAGAATTTAACTACTATATCTCATAATCGTTAGAGCCCTGTTTTTAAACATTACTTTACAATTGTTTTTAACATATTTTATTAGATCGTCGAGATTCTGTTTGCAAAAAATTCAACTAGAACAAATTAACAAAACAATAGTTATCTACTTAAATTATTAACGTACAGATGTTTTAGTTCTGTCTTTGGTGTATTTTCGAAAAGTGCTGCGCGATTTTGACCTTCCCCCTTCTTTACCCAATGCCCATAAACTCGAAATGCACAGCCGTCGATTACCTGAGAATTATTGATCAAGAATTATGTTTAGCAAATATATACTATTCATACTTAATCAATCTCAATTTCAGTCTTAATTGTATAATCATTTTTACAATTATCACTCATATTTAATATCATATACTCAATGTTACGAATATGTCAGACTGTAATTACTAAACATACTTGATTAGTTTGTTATAACAAATCTTCATTATTTTCTGTCTATTATATAAAAGAATTTATACCTTCCGCAGAATTTTTATCCTGTATGGATCAGTACAAGTTATTTGTGTTGAAAGCGGTTCAGGCGTGATATGAAGTCGTTTAATACGAATAACGGCTCCCACACAAATAATTGCCAATTGGAATCTCTTTCGTGCATTGAACGATTTGGCCTTCAGTTCCTAAGCAATAAAAAATAAATATATATAATACAAACTCGCTAGTTTCACAGCAAAAAGTAACAAGCTTAAGCTTTTTTTAATTCTATTATATCTATATATGGCATATTATCGTTATTATTCTCTACATATATAATAAAATGTAAAGCTTTTTTATGAATACAATCAAATTGAACATCGATAATTAGATAATAGGACCCAAAAAGTGCTGATATTGATAGGCACATATATGCATATATAGAATAACGTATATTCTCCATTTCATTGATAGATTGTTGTATAAAGATGTAACAAACGTGTATGTATATGTATAAATTTAAATTTTCTTTCCATTAATATATATATATTTGTGCATAATCATTTAAAAAAGAAAAATTAATGGAGTCGAATAGATTAGCTTATAAATATAATTCTATTATAATGAAAAACTAATATGATAAATTATCATGATAAATGACCATATTTAGTTAACTATGTATAGGATGATTAAAAACAATTTCAATAATATGTGCTTGAGAAATGATAGGTAATAAACTAAGTTTTTGTAAAAAGATAATTGATATCTGTAATGTTACATTTTGCAACTAAATGGTTTGTTTCTTCCAAAAGAGCTTAATTTATTATTCTTCATCAATATTCATTCAACATGCGCGCGCATTGTTGTTTTCAATCATCTATATATTATTAATGCAACAATTAATAAATGTTTGCTAAAACAATATAGGTATTAATTGTTATGTAAAAACGAAAATAATCAATAAATTCTACATTTTGTTATATAAAAACGCTAATAATCAATAAATTTTATATTTTGTTATATAAAAAACGATAGTAATCAGTAAATTTTACATTTCTGGCAACAAAATAAAAAGAAAAGTAATTTACCAAAGCTAACTGAGATATCCTACTCAGACGTCGCGAGTTAGATGACAGAGAACGTTTTAAAGGAGCGATGTCTTGATCCCACAGCTGTAAGATCAATAACTTACATTTTATAATCATAATTTCATAATCAGAATGTATCAAATAACTCGACCTATTTAATATTTTGTTAACAAAAAACAAAATCAATTTTTCAACAAAAAATAGAAACAAGTGCACATAGATAACTAGGTAGATAGAAAATGATTTAATATTTGTGCCATTAAATGTAAGATGAAGAGGAAAATATAAAAATTTTCTATGTGCTTTCTTTCAATCTTGTATATTATAATCCTTGGATATAAGAATACTTATAATAATGAAATAGATGAAAGCATATTTTGAAATAAAAATAAATAAAAAGAGCAATAAATAAAACAAATTAATGGCAAGATATTGTAACTCCATAGTAGAACATTATGTGTATAAAAAATTTGTTATTTAAAGAAATTTTTTATATGTTTATGAAATATATGTAATTCTCATCTCAAATTGAAAATTGCATGTGTCAATATAACTATTTTGATATACACATAATACTTACAACAGTGTGGAAGAATGAATGTTCTAATGCATCCTTTATAGAAATTCTTTTTTTGGGATCTACAACTAGCAGCTTTCTTATTAAATCTTTTGGAGCCTCTAAAATATGTATAATCATATATATCTATTATAAACAAAAATCTCTCTCTCTCTCTCTCTCTCATGCCCCGAATTTCGAAGATAATAAGATTGTAACATAAAAGTTTGTGAAAATTTAAATAAGTACGTGCTATTTTTTATTGCAAACAGATTTTTAAATATAAAGATTTAGTTGATAAATACTTTTCGATCACTAATGTTAGACAAAAGATTGCGCTGCCGTTTGCATACTATCACATAATCTGTACAGATAACTCTTTAACCAACGCTATAATAATTGGTCTAATTTTATATTTACAAAAATTACTTAGAATAAAAAATGGCACGCACTTTCATTACTGTATTTTTCACGAATTCTCGTGCTTCAATTGTATTATCCTCTAATTTCGGGACACTTTGTATATTTATAGCCTTTTTAAATTTATTATTCGTTAAGGTGTAGTTTTTCAATTGCAATTTTTACCTGTTATATCAGCCCATTCGGGAGATGTAAATGAATATTTTCCCTCCATTATATTTCTAAGCATAACCATTTGCTTTCGATGCCAAAATGGAGGACAGCCAACCAATAGTGTAAACATAATCACACCACAAGCCCATCTATTACATCATAAATAAAAATGGACAATGTAATGGAATATAAACTCATTTATACCAAAATCTATATACATTATATCTATAAATTATAATATAAGTGTGTGTTCCATAACCATCTGCATTCTCAAACATGTTACATTTTAATACTTCTGGTGCTAGATAGCCAGGCGTACCACAAAGATCTGCAAAATACATAAAACTAATAAGTAAATTTTCTAAAACCACATGAAAAGAAATGATGTAACAAACCTTCTAATTTTTCACCAGGTTTCAACATTCTGGCAAATCCAAAATCTGTTATCTTTATATTCAAATTATCATCGAACAATATATTTTCAGGCTTCAAATCTCTATGTACTATTCTTTGATTATGCACATGTTGAATTCCTTCAAATACTTGTCTCATGATGTAACGTGTCTTCTTTTCAGAAAGTGTCACAACAGATGTAAGATAATCAAATAATTCTCCGTTTTTGCATAATTCAAAAATTAAAAATATAAATGTATTGGATTCAAAAACATCATGCAATTCAACTAGAAGTAAAAAAAAAAGTGATTATGGTTGTCTTACTTAGCATGAAATGTTTTTAAAAAAGTTAAGGTCTTATATAATTTTTTTTTGGTCATTTATCAATATACAGTAGAATCTCGTTAATCTTGGCTCTTTCTCGAGATAAAAGCAAGAAATTCTTAATAAATAAAAATTAGTAGACTCCCTGTCCATAATGTAAGCTGCCCAATTGTCATGCACATGTGCAAATATACAAAGTTGTTATCTGCTATGCTGTCATGTAATCTGTCCATTATGACATAGGAGGAACGCAATATTAGAAAGAGTGTTTACAAAAGTACATATGGAAACATACTAAAATTAGCATAAAGCCAAATTTAAGGAGACTCTATCAGTTTTCTGTGATCTTTAAAGAAAAACTAAAATAGGGAACTTTACTGATATATGGATGTCCAGCTACTCTATGAAGTATTTGTACTTCTTGTAGCGTAGCATCTTTCATAGTATGTCCATCCTCGTGAGTCTCATTGCTGATGTCTATGATTTTAGCTGCATATTCTATACCTGTCTCTTTCTCTATACATCTCCTTACGGTAGAAGATATTCCCCTAAAATATTTGTTCCCATATATTAAGCCTAATTCGTCAAATTCATTAAAATAATACGGTATTTGTGACCTATCCCAACATTGATCGAAATCTGCTTTAATTATGTAATGTCATTGCGAATTTAAGAAATGACTATATAAATTTGTTCGCTAATTAACCATGACCGTTGACACGACATACAGAAATAATAAGAGAAGCGTTTATTGCCAACAGAGTTCACGAGAGCCAATAAGAATACTTAATGAAAGTAATAAAAAGAAGTGACGTACCTTCCCAGGATCTCCTTAGGCTCGTACTTAGCATAGAATCCTTTCGCCGCGTCCTTGTCTGGCAGCACGTCGTCTCCTTCATCTTTCGCCATGATCTCGCACCGTGAACTCTAACGTCGCTCGTAAGAAATATATATATATATATACCGTATTTCTTTACGCAGATCTCAATAATACATTTTCGCCAGAAATAATATATTTCTAAGAAAGATCAACACAATACAAATGGTCGGAACGTATATATGTACTGGTGGAATTCTTGTCACGCGGAACTGTCATTCGCAATCTGCCGAGTGATTGCCACTCGATTATTGTCTTCGATTATTCTTACATTTCGCAATAGTGTAATATGATCATTATGACGCGATTATTGACTAACGATAACTATCAATAATTTCGGTCAACGCGATATAAAAGGGAGTACGTGAATGCGAGGACGGGGACACGGTATATAAATATACATAAGTAGGGAGCAAAAGAAATATACATAGACACGATGTCACATGATTGGCTATCGAATAGAAAAATTTTTGGAACGTCAATAATTCTCTATTTGATAGCCAATTGCGTAACATTGTGTTTTCTTGCTTCATGCTCCAACAGTAGTGACATTTCATTGTCTCGAGAGACCAAGTTTCTAATGCGCATGCGTCGGTCAAGCTGAAGCAGTGAACTCTATAGCACTGGAGTGCGTTCAAAAATTCTACCCGTAGGATAAAATAATAGTAGTAGTAGTATATATTGACCAATCAGGACAAAAGGAACAATGATTTCTTTGTTATTACAATTAAGGCCCTATGGATACAAGGATCCTCTGTCAATTCTTTAAACGTATAAGTGGAAAATCTATTTAGGGTTGCAGCTTATGAATAAAATTAAGCATTATATATACAAATATTTATCTACGTTTACATTTATCATTAAATTTATTGTTGCATTTATCAGGAATGAATAATCGCTGGAATAATCAGGGCTTTAATTTCGTGATCCATTTATTAAAAATATGCATTAATTTCACATTGTGTTTCATTACTTTCAATTAAAGTAGAATATGACACAATAATATTGTCCTCTCTATCTATGCATCGAGACGCCTCTAGCATAATTTTCAAAATATACATTACTTTGTATTTACCGTTTACAAAAGACTAGATTCAATCTCTTTAGATATTTCTCGGTACAATTTTGAATTTCTATCTAGAATTATGGGCTTTTCTAAGACATTCTTTCTTTTTTTACTTTTGGTCGGTTATTCACAGATGTGTCAGCAAACTTCTACAGATGTTCGCCATTACAAATTATCACGATGGTTTATTTTATATATTACGCGTTGGCGCGTCTCATGTGACTTACAATATAGAGATTCTTATTGAGGAGAATCGTATTTGTTCACAACATATCGTATTTGTAACACAAAAATATAGCGTTGTTCGTAATACAATAAATTCACATAGGGTGCATCTACACAATACATATAGTGCTTTCAAGCAATAAATTAAGGATCTTTGATGTCACGCAGATATCTCAAAATATGTATGAGAGAGAACACACAAAGCATCAATAAAAAAATTTATAATTATATTACATATAAATCTCTTTTTAATATATTAAATTTAATTTCATTCGCTAAAAATTACAATATCGATGAAGCTATGCTCTTTCGGAATTTTTTGAACAGGAAAAATATGCTTATTTTTCGATGAATAGTATTAATTTTTGATAAGGGTATTAATTTTTGTTTGTCTATTTAATATATTCTGTATATACTTATTCTATGTGTGTGTGCGCGCGCGCGCGTGTGTGTAGGGTAACGTAATTGGGACTCATGATATTTATTTTTATATGATTGACAATAGAAAAAGATGGTAGAAGAGAAAGTTGAATGGCATAAAACATATTTTTATAAGACATTATTTTCTTTTTGCGTGCAACGATACACTAGAAAAGTGCGATTGTACTTTCTTTTTTAATTAATTCAATTGCAATTGATTTGCATATAAAAAAAAATAACAAAGTAAAGACTTTCCAAGCGTAACATATATTTTAATGCTATTATGAAAATCATAATAAAAAATGTTTATCATGTTACGATATAAAATTCTCTTTAAATAACGATTTAAAAACATGAAATATCGATCTGTGCCCTATTGAATACTATCAAAAAACAGCAGTTGCACTTAAAATGAGAAAAGTATTATAACTGAAAGATTATTGTTACATCATTTTTTTCTTCTATACTATTTTTTTCTATTGTCAATCGTTCTGGAGAAAATCACAATAAATCGCTGTAAGATCATGTGTGCATATGTATGTGAAAAGAGACCATCGGGATTTTATTTGTGTTTTAAATATTACAAGAAAAGGTTTTTGTTTTTTAGATATGTCATAATTATTTATTGATTTAATTTTATAAAGTTTAAGAAAAATTTTTTTTATTTCCTTAGAGATTTAATTTCTCCTAACTTTTTAAAAATGTTTTATTTAAAACAAAAAAAATAAATTATCATCTTAATTAAAAATGAACAAAAAAAAAAAAATCCAAACTTCTAATTTTTGGAATAAAAATTTACAAGAAAGATGATCTCTGTTTTTATCGGTTATAATTTACATATACATGTCAATTACTGTACACACACATATACACACGCACGCGCGTACACGTATATGTATACGCGCATACAACACACAAACGGTATGTACGAATGTATGTCATAGATACATTTCATTTACAGAGGATGGAATTAGCTAAAAATAGTACACACTATAAGAAATCTAATCCCCTCGCATTTGATTGTGAGTATAAAAGTAAATCGTGTACGTGTACTTGTATAAACGATGCGTCCACAGATCGAGTTTGATTTAATGTTTAATTTAAAATATAAGACACTACGAAACATATTGTGCATCGTGACGATTCGATTTGTTTTAGTATAAAAAAAAAGCTTAATCTGTGTGAAGAAATATCTTTTATACGAGTTATATGTTAGTAAATAAACAGCTAAATATGGTCCGCGATAGAAACTATATATATATATTTTTACGATATATTGTGTATATCGTATAAACGCAATTTACTTAACTAGACTGGCACAATCGCAATCTTTTTCTTATTTTACTAAGGACACAGTTAATTAGGGAACGTTCTGATGGTTGTTATTTAATTTTTATTTTATAGAAGGCAAACGAGCTAACGAGAGAAAGGACGAAAGAGAAAGAAAGAGAAAAAGAGAGAGAGAGAGAAAGAAGCATTACAGTGTACAATAGAGTATGCTTTAATAAACTATAAAGCACATGCAGAAGAAGTTAGAGCATGTTAATATTAATTAATTAGAATTAGTTATATCGAATTCTTTCAACGAGATTATGCTATTTCAGAGTCTCATTGACAGAAGCGAGAAATATAATATCTGATTCATCATCGACCTTTGCAGATTGGAAGAATCTGATTCTGAGAGAGACACGATTATTTCGATAATTATATGTTACAATATAAGCCGATTAGATCGGATTTGTCAAAAACTCGTAATTATTCTAATTTTGTGTGTGTCTATCGGTTTATCTGTACTTCTCTTTCTCTCTCTACGCGCGCGCGCATGGTGTCTATGTTCTCGTATTGACTACTCATCGGAAAAGGGAGAAATGCACTAAACCTTTGAAAAAATTAATTGAACATCTACCAATATTCTTTTTTCATTTTTATCTATAGAATTTTTAATTCTGTTAGAAAATGATCTTGATTAAATATGACCACTATTAAATATTTTTAACATAAAATATCCACTGATTAATGCATTTGCTAAGTTGATTCCATCGCTAGATGTTGTAATTTCTTATTGAATTATTATTATTATTATTATTTTCTTTAGAAGGAAGTTTTAACTTTTTCTTTTGTACTGCTCTACTGTGCTAAGCATTTTGGGAAGACTTGCTTTCCTAGCTAGCGGTTTTACATCTCTTGACTTCCGTTCTGAATAATCACAAGGATTCATAGAGGAATATGCATTCTCATATTATACATTCTTAATAACCAAACGCTATTACTTATTAAGGAGTTTGTCCACTTCTTCATTTGTGGAGCGCAAAATACAGATAAAGGCAGAGAATCCTATGCATAAAACGAAGTGATGTTGCCACAACATTCTTATTTTTTTGGTTTATTATGTTATATATATTACATACGATGTAATAAATGTTATTCATGTTCCTGCAAAACATTTTTTGATACACAAAGTTTACAATAAGCTTTTTATTTAGATGGTATTATTATTTACAAATTTATAATATAATAATTATTTGTATTAATTTTACTATAAAGACATATGTAAAATTGCGACTTTTAGCCTTAAATTTCTCACAAGCTATAGACAAATAGGCCGAAATTTTAATTGCAAATGTGTTGTATTGCAAGGAATATTAGTGTCTAATTATAATGTAATTTATAATATTTTCATTTTGGTGAACAAACTCCTTAAACAATATAATTATATTAAATGTGAATGCACACAAACATACATATTAAATAATAAGTGATAGAAATAAAGCAACAGTATAAATATGTCTATTCTATATTTTACTACTTCTCATATTTTATATATTATACGAATACTATAAATAAAAAATATAATCATAAACTAACAATAAAATCTATATATGACAAAAAAATATATTGAAAATTATTATCGCGTATATAAAAATAAATGAAGAATGAGGTAATATGTATATATATTATTTTATAACTTGCACATAGTAACTAATGAATTATTGTACAAATAATATCGAACTTTTATTTAAATCACTCAGTTTCCTCTACTAGTGAGTCGATATTGTATGTACAAATTGGCACTTGATCAGCTTGGAATATATATATTTTTTTTTTTTTTTTTTTTTTTTAATACCATGGATTCCGATGCGTGGTCAACCGAGAAAATATAATGAGAGTGAATGTAATATGATTAAATATTTTTTTTAAATTGCGCCAGATACGCTCCGCGTGGCGCTTTTCTTTTCTTCTTTCTATTTCACGGAACTAGAAACTTATAAGCTATTACACGTGATTCTAAATATGTATATATGTATATAACGACTACGGACGGTAACTAATCGCACGTCCTGAACCGCGTTGAATGGCTACTCCTTTTTCTCTCTTTTGTTAAATCACTTTATTACATTGAACACAATGATATCGAAATTCTTATTTATATTGTTTATATTTAAACTTCAAATTTCAGTATATTAATTAGTAGCTGTTTATTATTATATATATGTATATATAAAGTAATTGTTGAGACATTGTACATGTGCAAATATTGATTTTATAAAATGAAAATATTTTTTTTGTAATTTAAGTATAAGCATGAAATATAGTATATTGTGTAATATAGTAACTATTATATGAAAAAAGTTATTCCTTGTATAATAATAAGTCCGAAATATAGAATAAAATTTTTTTGTACAATACTTAGTTTATGAGAAAAATGCCTTTGAAAATTGATAAATTAATAATATCTATCCATTTTAAGCTTGAATGATATTTCTAGCAATCTTTATATCGATTATATTTATCTTGTCATCATCTTTTCAATTGTACTACGAATCACAATACATTCTGTGTATCTCTTGTAAAATAAATTAAAACAAGAGAACATTGATTAATAATTCGTTAAAAAATATTTCGAAGAATTTTGGAAAGTGCAAAAAAGATTTTTTTTTTTTGGCAGTGATTTAATAGGCTTATTTCTCATTTTATATATTCATCACCAATTTTGTATATTAAAATCATTAAGTTATTTAAGAGAGATTATAATTTTACTTTTTAAATTTTCTCTCTTCTCTTTTTATCATTCTTTTAATAATTGTTGCTTATTGCAGAAGCGGAATAGTTTCTTAGGACGTAATATTAGCAACTTGATAAAAATTTAACAGAATATTTCAGAATTAAATATGCTCTAACTTAAAATATGAATTTAGGATCTCAAAATAAGTAAAAAAGTTCCTGTGGAGTTATGCTACCATTAACAGCTGATTATCATTGTGATACATTCATAATTGTTTCTGTTTTAGGCACCAGCCATGGGCAGTGCTTTTTCACGAATTGAAAAAAATTATCAATATTTATAACTGGAACAAGGTATATCAAAATTTTTGGATTGTCGCGTTTTGTGAATACGTAATCAAGTATATCGCGCTAATCGCTCGTCTTCTAAATCATGATTATAATGATTTAACAACGAAATGTAATATTATCGCACACTGTATGCATTGTGTAAAATAAAAAACGCGCAAATATTACGCGAGCAAGTAAAATGATTTCATTTGCGCGATAAGGGGTAACAAAGCGTGTCTGCTGGCATGCAGATTCGCTGTTTCGGCTAAACTTGAGGTAGAGCAAAATTTAGGAAAGAGGAAAAAAGGGGAGAGTATCGTCGATAGGTAATACAGCAAAAGAGAAACCTTTGGCAGTATAGATTTTGCACCTTTCTCAAATTGATTCCAAGTTCGTTCGCCCAGTCGCCGTCTTTTAACTCACACCGTTCAGCATTACTTTGCGCCTGGTATTTTTCCTAATACCTAAACATAAAACAATAGCTATAGTTGATGGATCTATAATATTTGCTCACGCTTATGTAAGCATCATCTAGACATGGGGATGCATGGGTTTGCCAAGCGATACGTGTGTTTTTTGGTGATTTACTAAAGCATCATTAAGAAAAATGGAAAAAAAGAATAAAAAAATATAAGTACTTACTTTGGAAAGATCTACACCAGTCAATGCTTGTACAGCTGGAGGTACTTGTCCTACGAGACGCGTAAATTCTCCGCTAGTCGCGTCGCTTCCGCCGAGAAGCACAATTTCTTCCGTTCTCGCCAATGGCGCCGCGACTTCGGCTGCAATCTGTAAAAAGAGAAATATTATTGTTCGCAAAATAATGTATATTACAATCCAGAAAACGGAACACTTACCTTTGGCAAGGCATTCAGAGTGATATTCAGTATAGCCGCCTCACCGTACTTTTTATAAACCACTGCTTTCATTCGCATACGTTCTGCTTCCGATATACCGACAGCTTCGAGAGCATGAGCCTCGGCCTCTCCGATTAATCGAATTTTCTCGGCTTCGGCTTTCGCCACGTACACAGTCTGAGTTCTTAAAAAGAATGTATTTAAACGTTATATAAAAAATTCATAAATGTTATACAAGATAAGTCAATAACAATTGCTATCTGAAATAATTTATTAATTATATTATGAGAAATCGTTACCTTTCGGCTGGTAATCGTACTGTGCTCTGAAGTTCGTGTTCTTTTCGGCGGACTTCTTGCACCTCGACTTCGATTTGTTTGCGCCTTTCCACGACTTCTATTTGTATCTCTTCATTTCGTATCCGCTGTTTTATTTTCGCTGCTTGAAGTTCATAAGCCAATTGAGCCTCAGCTTTCTAGAGATGATCAGAAAAGAATAAATATGTAACAATAATCGTGGCTGAAACTATATTGAAAATGTTAATCATCCAGATTTCGTAAAAAATACTTACAGCTGTGTTTACTTCCTGATCAAAGTTAGCTTTCTGCAATTGATAGAGTCTTGCGTTGTCCTCTATTTTCGTATCAGTATTATATTTTATGTCCATTGCTGATTTTTCACATTCTGCTTCCTATTATGGAACAATAAAAAACATTATGAGATTAATTAAAATCATCTTAAGTAAAAACTTGCGAAATATACAATGTCAATACAATGGCAATACTGGGGCTAATACCGAAACATACCCTAATACCGGCATCTCGATTTGCTTCGGCGACGCCAACATCAGCATCTCTTTTAACAGCAGCTGTCTGAGCTTTGCCTAGAGATGTCAAATACTGAACATCATCGTAAACATCCTTTATCGTGAATGAGAGGATCTCAATGCCCATACGACCAACATCCGGCGCGGCAACTTCCCGTACAAGAGCTGCAAATTGATCTCGGTCCTTGTAGACTTCCTCCACCGAAAGCGTTCCTGAGAAACAATGTATTCTCTTTGAAAATCATAAGAATAATAGCTCTTGACTTATTAGCGAATAATTATTTTTGAAAATACAATTTTCTTATTGATTAAGATAAATGTTGAGAGTGATCAAATGTACCTAATATAGCTCGTAAGTGACCTTCCAAGGTGGATAAAATAGTTGTTTTGATCTCGTGGACGCCCTTCCCAAGAAACTGTTCACTGGCAGTGTGCAACAACTCGTCGGCCTTCATGATTTTGCACTGCGCTACTCCGGTGACTGTTAGGGGTACGCCCTGCGCCGTTTCCACGCTCTCGCACACCGGATTCAGAGTCATCACCTCCAGCGACAGTCGCTGCACATCAGTGACAAACCACCAGGTGAATGCGTATCCACCGACGATGGTCCTCTTTCTCATCGAGCCGCAACATCCTCCTGAGACATGAAGACAAATTGGTGTTTCATTAAACACATAATCGTTACAAATATTTATTTAAATCGTATCGTTACACGCATGTCATGTATTATCGCATTTATATATTGATTGACGTCTCGAGCAAATAATTTTTTATTCTACGAAATCCAGAATATTCATCATTGACATCAAATTGTAATTAAAAAATTAGCATTTGGATCATGATAATGAGACATGAGATAAGATCATACGAAAACAACATTAATATAAAATCTAAAAAATACATATATGCTATGGAATGTAATCCAAATAACATATTATATATCTGTATCTTAATCACAATTATTTAAACATTCTATTAAATACAATACGTCGTTTGAAAATTGTTATATTCTTGATTCTTTTTATATACGCTTTATCCTAAAAATTTTAGGATAAACTGCAATCAAATTTTAATCGTAAATTTTATTGCTTTATTAAATTGCACGAATCTTTAAATTGTCAGTGCATATTATTTACACTTTTATGAATTTGACAATCTATTGCCACATTGTTGATGAATAATGCTGTGCACATAGAATATATATACATATAAATCAAAAAATGATATACGACACATATGGATTTAATTGCGCGAATCATGATAAATATATGTGTGTATCAGAATATAAAAAATCTTCAATTTAAATTTAATTGCAGATTACGGCAAGGAAGAATATAGTAATCTATATTAAATATAACAGAATTACGAATTTTTACATAGACATAATAAAAAGATATTTTACACAATAATATATGTATATATATCATATATAAATTTAATCTATCATTGTGTACCAAAACTATAAAATATGTATATATGTATGTGATACGCCAAATTTATCTCTACATGTATGTGTGTGTGTGTGTGTGTGTATTTACCCTCAGATCAGAATATAATAATGTTTAATCGGTATGCACAAGTGGGTGATATTTTTTGTCAAACTAAGCTGTCTTCTTTTATCACATACGCAATGGCGGAGCGCCCCTCTTCATATATCCAAAATATAAATCGCGCCAGAGTTTATTTTCTCTCACAAACCAGCATAAATTGTACATCCACCAACGGGGTAACTCTGACTGAAGTTAGTGGAGTCTCGCAATACTAATCAGAAGGATTATCATTCGGTAAGACTTTAAAAAAATTATATGAAATAATGTGTATAGCAATATAAAGATACTGTCTGTATTTTATATGCTCTAAGCATCTTGTATAAACGGTTCGATTATGAAATTTCCTATTGTGAATATAAAAATTCAGAATTTATATTCTGTATAATGCATACAACATTAAGAAACAGAATATATTTATATATAATATATAGATACTTTTATGTAATTGAAAAATATCTTTATGAATATTGCTTATATCTTGGGAATTACAATTAATTTATTGATATAAAAAAGAAATTTCAGTAATGGATAACAAGTATAATATAAATAAAAATTTTCATTCTGAGTATAATGTATAATGTCACATAAATAAAATTCTTATGTCTTCTTGCCATTTTGTATTTTGGCGTTCATAAATCGCGACAATAATCCATTATTCACACAAGTTTTTTTATCGTTTTTAACAAATGCTAGTAATTTAAAAATAGTAAATATAGTTTGTGAATATGGTAAATAGTATACAAATTATTTATGGTATTTTTAAGAAAATACAATTTAATCCAACGTATGATCTATAATTCAATAAGTTCAACATGATGACTGCATTATTAAAGATTGCAAAAAAATATGATTAAAATTTTCCTTGATCATTTTTAACTCTGACGTATTATTCATTTTATATTTATTATTCATTATATTTTCTTCTCTCTCTAATAAATCGTCGAATATAAAAAATTGGGCAATAAGAAGCGCTTATTACTTTGACTTTTTTAAAGATTGATAACTTTATAAATGCTTTCCTCAACGATAATCCATGTGAATCTCGCTCGGAGCCAAGCAATGACGTCACACCATATGTGTTCTCTTTGTCGACGAAAAGAGATATGTTCTTGACCACACGTGATTTTCTCGAATAGTGAATATCGTAGCAGTAGTTAATCTTATTTTACTTGCTCCGGATAAAGAAATTTTTACCAGGCCTTTCGCGCATGTATATATATAATATATATACACGCGCGATCTCATCGGAGAATACGTGCTTTTCGATTGCTGTGGCAAAAATTTATCATAAACAGGTAATAATAAACTTTCACATGGAACGCTGGGAGCAGAACGTAGTTTCTTTCAGATCATTCAAGGATAGGCAGTGTTAAAAAGTTAATTATTTTCACATGCCATATTATTAAAAGAGATCGATTAAAGTAACATAACACATGTAATTAAAGTAAGTAACACAATACACGTAAAAAGTTACACAAATAATGTAATATTTTATATCATTTGGTAAAATTAAAGATAAAATAGTATAATATACTATATTGTTTTTAATGATATCTTCACGAGAATCATAACTGATGTTCATTTTTTCCCATTCTTAAAGAAAGAATAAGCTTTAATTGACATGTCGACACTAATAATATTGATAAATTTAAATTTACATAATTTTTTTTATATAACACAATTTGTAATTCATTATTATTTGTCTTCCATTGTAACTTAATCAATACAATTCATTTTTTGCACCTTTTTTATTCTGTGTCTCTTTATTTTTTATTTATTGATGAGATTACTTTGAATTGCAGATATGCAATGGTACTTCTTTTTGCTTGCCTTCGCGCACTATGTCACTGCTACTCCTGTCAAAGCATATCAGGTAAATAAAATAATATTGTCCTAGTATTGAAATTTTTAAACTCCTCGAAATTATCTCGGTTTTAATGTGCTTTATTTTTGATTCTGAAATACATGTATAATTAATTCATAGCTCTATTTTTAATCTTATTACTTTAGCTGTTTAGCTAGAAATGATATTTATGTGAAGTTACAAAAAAATGCTAACGCAGCCATTATTTTATACAATTATAAAAAAGAATAAGAAAATTATGTTGCATTTCGTGATTTAATTTTAATTTTGTATTTTTAAAATATATCATTTTTAATTTTATCATGCCATTTTCTATACACGAAAACATATGTCTGAATCAAATATAGCATAAAAGAAAAAATATAAAAATTTGAGAACAGAGAACAATAAATAAAATAACAAGGATACTAAATTGTAATCACAAATTTAAAGTGCTTTTTATACTCGTATAATTGTATTTAAATAGATACTTGTAAAAAACACGTCTCTCATTAATGTCATTGTATTTATGTTATTGTTTGAATGCAGTCATTTGCATGTATTAAGTACATCTTTTTCTGCGACTCGAGAGAATTCTGATTATCAGATATAGAGACAACATTGAATTTAGTAGCTGCGGGCAGCGTATCTTACAAAAAAAAATTTCGCAATAATTCGGACAACACAATTATGAAAATGCGGGTGTTATCATATAGGCTAAGGTTAAATGTTAAATTTATATAGATGCATTAAAATCTGTCGAGAAATATTTTTTTTACACACATGAGAGTATATCTAAATTGCTTTGATTGCTCTGATTGCTAAGTGCAATCACTAAGTAGTTTTGATTACTTTGTCTGATTGCGGAATGTATATTTTCCTTATCACAAGTCTATAAGTTTTAGTCTTGGTAAACCTTTATTTCATATTAAAAGAAAGCGCGCACACACATAAGTTTTCGGAGCAGCTGAAATTTACTTAGATGATTGCAAATATTTTTGAATAACAAAACTTTTCATTTATGCTCATTTAAAGAGGTTATTATTCTAGACAGATCAAGCAACCAGCAGCAACGTAATCAGCAAATGTTGCCCCTGCCAGTTTGAGGATACGCAATACATAGATTATGCTTGTCCAGGCAGCACTTTTATGAAGCTAATTCAAAATGTGATATCCTTCAGATGCGACATTGCTGAACCTTGCCGACGATTGGGTAGGAACGAAGCACCAAACGAGAATGAATGGTATAAAATCTACAAGATCTCTCATAGATCTCTCATAAAATAATTTTTGTAATAAATTATATTTGTGCTCCGTTATTTTCACTTTGAAGTGCAAGATTCTTTGCCTATTGTCAATATCGTTAATGTCTTTTATAGGTTTGATTTTATAATCATCGGCGCAGGTGTGGCAGGGCCAATAATCGCGAGAAGATTGAGCGATAATCCATGGCGAAAGATTTTGCTTATCGAGGCTGGCCCGGAAGAACCTACTATGACCGCAATACCAGCACTTGCGTTTAAAGCCATCAATACGGACCTCGATTGGAAATTCAAAACGGAACCAACATCACCGCATCCTACTGCTTGTTTAAGTATAAAATATATCATCTTACAATACATTGTTTGATTTAATACTGTTTTTCACATGAACAATGCATAACATTTTTATCGCGCGTAAAGAGTACATTAATATATTAATGTTGGCATCCTTTTAGAAACAAACGGCGTTTGCAATTGGCCAAGGGGCAAGATGATTGCCGGAACTAACGGCTTCAACGGTATGATGTACGTTCGAGGTCATCCTGAAATTTATAACCTCTGGGCACAGGCGGGAAATACTGGCTGGTCTTATGATGAAATCACTCGTTATTTCGAACGGGTGGAGAATCCGGTCTATCCGATAATCTTGTCAAACAATCGCAGTTTGAATGAACGCGGCATGGTTAATATTCAGTATTTTCCATATAAACCGAAGTTCGCGGATGTGCTGCTGACAGCCGCCAAAGAGCTGGGTTATGCAATCTCCCAATTAAGGGGATATAACCAAACTGGTTTTACGATCGCGCCGATGACAATCGAAAACGGTATGCGTCTCACGACTTCCAAGGCATACTTGAGGCCCGTCTTCGATCGCAAAAATCTGCGAGTATTAATAAACGCACAAGTTACCAAGATTCTAATTAGTCCATGGGAAAAGAAAGCTTATGGCGTGGAGCTGATAGATAAGAACGGCCGAAAGAGAGTGGTAAAATGCGACAAAGAAGTGATCTTGACGGCCGGTGCTATAGGCTCACCGCACATTCTTATGAATTCTGGTATAGGACCCAAAAAAGACCTCGCTGATCTCGGTATTAAAGTTTACAAAGATCTGCCGGTCGGCAAAAATTTGCACAATCATGTCTCAGTAGCGGTTCCCATGAGCATCAGAGACATCCCGTATGAGACCCTGACTATGGATGCTGTAAATAACTATCTAGAGAGCAAAAGCGGCCCGTTGTCTAGTACGGGCCTCACTCAAGTCACCGCCTTCTTTGAAAGCAAATATGCGACCAAAGGCGTGCCGGACATTCAAGCTTTCTTCGACGGTTTCAGTCCCAGCTGTCCGAAGACTGGTCTGCCGAATGAGTGCGTTGATGGTAGAATTGGCGATTGTACGAATAGAAGAAAGATCGGGGCAAGACCCACGGTGGTTCGCACGAAGAGTCAAGGCTATATGAAACTCCGATCGAATAATCCTTTGGATCCACCACTAATGTATCCGAATTATTTCACAAATGAGAAAGACTTGATGATCTTGCTTGAAGGTATCAGAAAAGTCAGCACGATTGTCGACGCACCCATTATGAAAAAGTGGGATTTTCGTTTGGAACAAGTGAGAAACCCATTATGCAACGAGTAAGTATTATATTATCACCCAGTAAGTAAGATGCGTGCAATATATTAGCAGATTAGCAATTATGTGTTACTTCAAGTTTCGAAAGAGATCAGTTGCATAATGGAATCTAATATTTATGGAATATTTCTGATACATTTAAATAGTAATGTCTGAGTTTTCCTATTCTTTTCTTAATACAATAAAAATTAAAAACAAAAGAAAAAATATTTTTTTTTTGAATGTTGATTTCTTAAGATTGTTAGCAAATTTTTTATCGTATTTTTAATTTTATTAGCTATCATTTCGGTACGGATGCCTTTTGGATGTGTCAAATACGTGCAGAAACAGGACCGGAAAATCATCAATCCGGAACATGCAAGATGGGACCGAGTATCGATCCAACCGCGGTAGTGGATCCAAAACTTCGAGTACACGGTATAGCGAACATTCGCGTCGCCGATGCTTCTATCTTCCCCACCGTGCCAAATGCAAATCCTATCGCTGGTATCATGATGGTAGCTGAAAAAGCAGCCGATATGATTAATAGTGCTTGGCCGCAGAGACTTTAAATATAACAAAGCAGTACATTATGTAATAATATACATATAAGAAGTCCCAAAACTATTGAACGCATTCTTTTAATGATAAATTCTTTGATCAATTAAAAATCATTTTTTTTTTTAGCAAAAATAGTACAAGTTCATCATTTGCAACTTTTCTATTTTTTGCACCACCAGTCTTTATAATTAAATTTCAAATAAAAATTTTAATTACAGTATGTAATTAAAATTACAGTAAAATTACAATATGTAATTAAAATTACAGTAAGTTGCACTAAAATTAATGAAAAATTGTAGTTGACGATTTATTATCCATTTTGAAATCTAAAAGAAGTTCTTTTTAATTAATCGCTTAATTTGATAATTATTAATATACTTCGGAATTTGCGTTAAAAAATTGACTACTAAAATTGATTAAATTAAAAAATTGTGATACTTTTAAGAGATATAATGATAAAATAATTAAATTTTATGATGTTCATGTGATATTTATTTTCATAATTCGGGACAATTTTCTGATATCACCATTTTTGTAAATCAAATAATTAAAATTTAAGTAATAAAATGTACACATTATAGCAACATTTTTTTGTACTATTGATACAGCCGCTTATTGATCACGTAGACATCGTAGAAGAGAGAAAGTACGCGAGTAGCTCGTGTGTGTGTCTTTCTGCCAGTGTGTTGGCCATGAAAGCAAAGAGAAAGATGTTGACACGGTGTCACACATAAAAAAACCAGAGTCTTTCAGCATGATTCATACGAGAAAGAAAAAAAATGATGCGTTTCGCGTGCGATAGATTTCTAAATATTTATTGTTCATTGCAAAATCGCATACCAGTAAGGCAAATAATCTTACTTGCGGATTATTTTGTAGTTCTCACGACAAAAACATGGTTTGATATAATTATATTGCCCCCAGCGAGCATAGCGGGAATATGCTTATTTAGAAAATAAATGTATTTTTGCTATGCTCGTTTCTTTTTTTCCTCTTTCTCTCTTTCTTTCTCTCTCTGTGCATGTTTTGACTACAAGAAATATATCTATGAAAAGAATTTTTGTCTTATTATCGAACGATTGTATCACATTTTTAAATTACAAAAATACATATATTCTCAATTATATATTATCCCCTCCCCTTCGTTTATTAAAATAAAAATTCTTATATCTATAAAAAAATATTCTACATAAAATAAAATAACTATATATTTGTAAAAAACAATGCAAATAATTATACTAAAGAATAGTTTAGTCTTAAGACACAGATTTCGAGCAATGAACTTTACGGAGCCACTAAATTTTCATACGATGTTGGCACTGAAAGGATATACTAGGGGCCAACTGGTTTTCACTCTGCACATTCACCAGCACGCTGTGCAGTCTGGTTCTTACCGGTGCTAGTCTCATTTCGCTTATAACGATTTTGCCGGTTTATCATCGAACATTTATATATTTTTAACTAAATTTATCGAGTAAGCTTGATACAATATTGTACGCGTTGCAGAATACAATCGAGATGACTCAAGTGTGAATGTCAATCATAAATATTGGAAAAGTGCTGTTAATACGAGAAAGTATAATACAAGTTTACGCGCAAACACCAATAAGACATGGAGAAACTAATGGAACAACACTGAAAAATCAACGCAGAAATGTACGCGAGTGACAAATTAATTGGTACGTTGCCAACGATCTTCATAATTATTGCAAAGATATTATTGTGATAATATCTGCAAATGTACCACCTGACGGATTCGAGTGATGTCGACATGTCATATGCAGTTGTAACTAGATTTTGTTGGCTTATATAAGCTATTGTCAGAGAACAAAAGGTAGGAAACACAACGTGGAAATTACAGATGCTAACGTAATTTCAACTTTCGTATGGCATACTTAAGATCTGTGATAAGTGTTGTGCATATATTCAAAATATAAACAATATGACATAATTCATAAAATAAAATGATTAAATATAACCATATATATCTAATATGCTTTGCGTATATTATATGTGTTTATGTCCTTTCACTTTATCTATACGTATGCAGTCAATTCTAAAGTAATTAATTGTTTGGACGTTATAAGTGTGAAAAATTCATAAATTTTATGTAAAAGATTGGTAAATTTCACGTACAAAATGTTAAGATATTAAATGTTAAGAATAGCTTACACGTAATATTGAGACAAGTAAATAAACATTTCATTTTTATTAGTGAAATTAATTAATAATTTGCTTTCAGAACTTCACTTATTTGTACCACTGATGTTTGAGAGAATAATGCTCGAATGCATTTGGATACTATTTGAATTATTAATGTTTGGCGGTGGAAATAAATGGAAATGGCAACAATATTGACTAATTTTTTCGGTACAACTTCCGTTCTTGGATTTAGTTTGATTCCGCTTTTGGCCATCGGTCTCACTGTATATAAATACAACAGTCTCGATCCAGAATCACATCCGCAAGATGCACAAGAGGTATAAAAAAATTTTAAAAATTAATAGAAAAAGAAGAGAGAAGTATAAAGAATTTTTTAAAGCATCCTTTCACAGACACACATTTATATATATATAAAAGATAGTCTAAAAAATTTTTCTATAAATTTTTCTCTCCCCCTCTCATAAATTGGCTTACATACATGTATATACAAAGTATTTCAAAATTTGCGACTAAAAATACTATAGCAGAAAAGTTATCAAAAAATTAATTCCAAAAATAACATTTACAAGAAAAAAATTAAAAAAAATATGTCTACGAACTTGTTAGATTATGCGTTAATTATGTCAAGTATCTGAAATAAATATAGGCGATTTATATATACAAGGGCTGTCCATTGAAGAAAACGAACTTTTAAAAAAGCGTCCGAATGCGATGACGATGATCATTCATTTTATAGCACTGCGTAGTGGAATTCTTTAGCAACTTTCTCAGATTATGAGCATGACGCTATCGTTCTTAGTTTGCGTTTTATAATGGTTTGAATGAGATTGTATTTGGCGTTCGTGGCGATTTTCTAGACATGGCAATTCTTTTTTTTTTTTTTAGATTTTCTTGCAGAGTTTAAGAGAGACAGTGAGAAAGGGAATAGGGGGCTGAGCAACAGTTGTCGCGTGTTTTGCCAAAAACTCGTTGATAAGGAACAACGCGTGTGCGGATGCATTGTCGTGATGCAGCATCGATTGCTCACTGCCTCTCTCAAACACTGCAAGAAAAAAAAAGAAGAAATCGCCACATCTAGAAAATCGCCACGAACGCTGAACACAACCTCATTCAAACTAAAACGTAAACTAAGAACGAGAGCGTGATGCTCGTGGTGTGAAAAAATTGCTAATGAATTCCACTACACAGTGCCACAAGGCGGATGATCCCACGTCATCGCATTCAGGCGCTTTTTTAAAAGTTCGGTGTTTTTATGGACAGCTCTTGTATGTATCATATGTGATAGTCAAATGTTCGAATAGAGATGGAGATGTAACAAATTATGATGCAATTTCAGTTGCTGCGAATATACGATTTCATAGTGATTGGAGGTGGAAGCGCAGGTGCCGTAGTCGCCTCAAGATTGTCAGAGATAGCTAATTGGACAGTGTTACTCTTAGAAGCTGGCGATGATGAGAACGAAATTTCAGATATTCCCTTGCTTGCCGGATATACTCAGCTCACAAAATTTGATTGGAAGTATCAAACCTCACCATCTACTACTTCCGCCTATTGTCTCGCTATGATAGGCGACAAGTGTAATTGGCCACGAGGCAAAGTTCTGGGAGGAAGCAGTGTTCTTAATGCTATGATTTACGTTCGTGGTAATCGGCAAGTACACATGTCATTTTAATTATTAGAATTAGAGATCAAATAGAAACAATCAAACGATAATTAAATATTTGTTTTAGACACGATTACGATAATTGGGCTCGATTAGGAAATAATGGATGGAGCTACGAGGAAGTGCTCCCTTATTTTCTCAAATCTGAAGATAATAGAAATCCATACTTGGCGAGAACACCTTACCATAAAACAGGAGGTTATCTGACCGTACAAGAACCGCCCTGGAAAAGTCCTTTAGCTCTCGCTTTCTTGCAAGCTGGCCAAGAAATGGGCTACGAGAATCGCGACATAAACGGATTCAATCAAACCGGTTTCATGTTGACGCAAGCAACGATTCGACGTGGCAGTCGATGCTCGACGGCGAAGGCTTTTCTACGACCGGTGAAAAACAGATCGAATCTGCACATAGCGATGCATACTCAGGTTTTAAAAGTGCTCTTTAACGCCGAGAAGAGAGCAATAGGCGTAGAATTTCTTCGCGATGGTAAACAAGGAATTGTAAGATGCAGAAGAGAAGTCATCTTATCCGCTGGCGCGATTAATTCGCCTCAGTTGCTTATGCTCTCTGGAATCGGTTCCAGCAAACATTTGGCAGAGTTTGGCATACCAGTGATATCTAATCTACGGGTCGGAGATAATCTTCAGGATCACGTGGGCCTTGGTGGACTCACTTTTATCATAAATGACCAGATCACTTTGATGAGAGAGCGCTTTCAGACTTTCTCGGTGATGTTCGAATATATCATGAAGGAGCGAGGACCCCTGACCACGCCGGGAATCGAAGGATTGGCTTTTCTTAATACTAAATATGCCAACAAATCCGGTGATTATCCAGACATGCAGTTTCATTTCGCACCAAGTTCCGTCAACTCCGACGGCGAACAAATAAAAAAGATCACCGGTCTAAAAGACCGAGTATATAATACCATGTACAAACCTTTGCGCAATGCCGAAACCTGGTCAATTCTACCGCTTTTGCTACGGCCCAAGAGCACAGGATGGATCAGGTTGAAGAATAAAAACCCTCTAGTTCAACCGGAAATTAATCCTAATTACTTCACGCATAAAGAGGATATGGATGTTCTCGTGGAAGGAATCAGGTTAGCGATGCAGGTATCTAACACCCGCGCATTTCAACGATTTGGCTCGAGACCTCACACCATTCGCATGCCGGGTTGTCACAAATATGCATTCAATACGTATGAATACTGGGAATGCGCTGTACGACACTTTACCTTCACGATTTACCATCCAACGGGTACTTGTAAAATGGGGCCGCAGAGCGATCCTACAGCCGTCGTGGATCCTCGATTAAGGGTTTACGGGGTTAAAGGGCTTAGGGTCGTTGATGCTTCCATAATGCCGACCATTGTCAGTGGCAATCCGAATGCGCCGACCATCATGATCGGCGAAAAAGCCAGTGACATTATCAAGGAAGACTGGCGAGTAAAAAAAACACGAAGTGTTAAAAGATGACGAACGAAATTCTTTTCGTCAAAATAAAATTATGATTTAATTTCGCACTTTTTAGATATAATCAAATTATTGTGTGGAAAATTTTCATTACTTTTTTTATTATGTAATATTATTTTAGTTTTTTAATATTTTTAATAGTTTATTGCTCTTATATTATTATATAAGTTCTTTCGTTAAAACTCTCTCCTTTTATTTATATAAATCCAATAGATCTTTCTCCCTCGTCTCTTTCTTGGTCCCTCTTCCCCCTTTCCTCTTTCTTCTTCCCCGCCCTCTGTTTTTTTCTCTCTCCTTCCCTCTCTCTTCATTTATACCTGCCTTTCTCTCACCTTCTCTCCCTCATTTGCATGCGCGTGTGTGAAGATCTGTTATAATATTTCAAATATACGTCACGATCTAAAGATACATTTATGAAAAAGATCAATATGTTGTTTGCATTTATAAAACATCAAATTGATTATATATATGAAAATAATATTTGTGAAAAATTTCTCTTCTTATGAAATATTTATAAATATTAATAAGTAATTAACTTTCTCTCTCTCTCCCTCTCTCTCTTTCTAACTCTCTTTCCTCCTTCATTCTCCCCCTCTCTTTTCAATAGGGAATAATATATTCTATATTATATATTAAAATATTATAAATACATCTAATGTGTGTCAAAGTTATTAAACTAAAAATTTTAATAACAGGCAGTGCCATTCCTTTTGTAATAATACGAAAAATATAATTTTTTTATTTCATTAAACTTGTTAAATTTTATTATTTACCACATACGCATAACATATATCTTGCATATCTTGTATATAGTAATTTGTTAATGTTACGTCCCCATATATATAATAGTTTTATATTAATTTGTCAATCTCTTATGTTAATAAAGATTTCTTGCGAGTTAATTAATTTTTAACAAAATCGACAATAAGAAAAATAATATTCATTATTAAAAGTGCATAACAATTTTTTTTTTAGCGTAAGAGCAAGCGTGAAAAAAACGATATGAGGTCTCAGAAACAAAATTATACTGATTTTCAAATCGCAAATAGACGAATCATAGTAATATATAACTTTATATAATACTGAATCTCGTGTCAAAAATTACGCGTGATAAAATGCACGTTTTCACGCATTCCTATTCTCTATTTTCATTTCGTCGCTTTCTTATTCATTAATGCATAGTATTAATTATAGCAATGCAGCATGCTACTGTGTATTAATACAGATTTTATTTCCGTCTTTTTTATTATTCGCAGATATAAATATCTTTGAACATATCGCGCTTTCCCTCTTTTTTTTCTCAATGTGAAAAAAGGCGCCTCTATATGGACGTAATTTACTGTTACATTGATATCACGGTCCAATGCACATTACGCAGATTCTTCGTGTATTCTACGAAAAGAAGTTGACAACAGTGAAAGTGACCCATTGCCATCCGACTACTTTGTTAAATTTATGCGCGAAAATAGTTTATGTGAAGTATAACTGATAGAAGAAAACGCAAAGTGTGACTGCGAAAGAAGATATCCTTAAGAAACATACTATGCAGAAAAATTGAGACAAACGCGCAATTTTCATTGTCCTTATTTATCTGAAACATTTTTACCTGTTTTATTTTAGAAGTTTAGTTTTCGAGATATTCGACTGGATTGTTTAAGATGAGATATCCTGTATAATTAAATTATTATTGCTATTATAAACATCTCCTTGAAGATACATTACAACATTCTGTTAAAATGTCTTTCTCCATAAAATGAATACTCTAAGAGAAATTAATAAACACCATTTCTTATATACTATATTTGGTGTATACTATCTTGCTCATCGCGGAAAAGATTAGACCATCATATCCGATCGTAATGAGACTGTATTACTTCTTCGTGCATGCTGTGTATATATGTGTATATTTGTATGTACACAAGAAATAGCAACGTCATGCGCGAGTATCGTTCTGTTACCACACTCCCGCTATAAGGTAGATGTGCGTATAGGTAACCACAGGAAGAAAATACTTTCACTACCAAACGACTGGGAGCCTTCAGGAAGGACAAGAACGCTAAGCACAAGTGGGAATGATGAGGAAGGTGAGAGTGAAATGGATGGAAGTATATCGGTGCAGTACCGTAACGTTCTTCCGACTGTCATTACTGACTCTATCGCAGTCACTCGACTATCGTCTCATTATTCGCGATCTTTTAATATTTGGACAATCTTGCCAGTAAAATTTTGACGGACACGTTGCACTCGTTTTCGAAATCTCTATCGCGATTACAACTATCATCGAATGATTCTCGTAATGAAAATCAACGTAATCGTAATCATTGTTAATGGAACCTTGTAATACTTTCTGCTAAGTGGAAAATTCTTAGAGTGATTATTCAATAATTACGTTTAGTCATCGGACAGTGATAAAGTGATCCACACAATGTTAAAAGGATTGTAGAGGTGTGTCATCAAGATTGCAACGTCAAGAGAATAATAGGAGTATGAACGGCGTTAAAAAAATTATATGTATGTAATCTGTAATATTAATATGATATTCCTCTCTTTTTTCAACAAAATTATTACATACATACTATTATATATAAACACTTTTTTCATCCATATAATAAGAAGATTACTTATAATAAGGTTACTTTAAATTGAAAAAGGGGCTGCTTTATATTAAAAATGTCAATGAAGCTGACATTTGTACAAAAATAACAATTTAAAAATTCGCGGGCGAATAAGAGCCGGACGCAGATGATAGTGCGTCAGATTCATAGAAAATAATTTTTTTATGAAGCTGATTATACTGTGCACGGATATTGTCAGCTTCATACAAAAATTATTTTCTATGAATCTGACGCACTATCATCTGCGTCCGACTCTCATTCGCCCGCAAATTTTTAAGTTGTGATTTCACTTGAGAGCCTTATTAAATTTTTAACTTACAAAAATTATGATAAGATAAAGCATTGCAAATGCGCAATATTACTATTTGTGACGCTCAATATGTCCTCAATAAATTATCAATAAATTATGGCATTAAAATATCTAAATTCAGCAAAATTCTATCTATTCTTCCTGATTAAAAGAAGCGTAACCTTCTATTCTTAAAAACAGTTTAAAATTAGTATATTTTAAACTAATATTTAAACTAATTTAGTATATTTTTAAAATCTTCTAATTTAATATATTATATTTAATTATATTCTATTTTAGTATATTTACTATCCATCTATAACACGAAAAAAGGATATAATGCGTAATTTAAATATAAAAATAATGAGTCTATCTAATAATTATTTTATGATTTTGTAATTGTTTTATGTGACACTCTGCTGACTTATTGTAAGATATTATGTGCAACTTTGACTTCACTTATATGTAGCTACATATTATGATACGTTTTTACATACACACATACGTTCTGATTTCTTGAAATAATGATGTGCAGTAATCGCAAATATATACATTGACATTAGAAGATTAGTTTTTCTGGCGTTAAAAACTCGTAATAATGTTTTGATTATAGTTAATTGTTATAAAAAAATCTTAATCAATATACACAAATTCGATATATAATCAATAAACGTACATTACTTTAATTCTGCAACTCATTTTTCATGAAAATATTATGCTATTAATCAAAAAAATTTATTCCTTTACTTTTTTATAAGGAATCATCTTTTCGTATATAAATTGTGCTCAAATTTATTGAATATCTTGCATATTTCATACTATGATTAATAACGTGTTGTTTTCTTTGTTCGCAATTAACTCTTGCGTTACATATGTACAGAAAGAAAATAAATAACTTATTTGATTTATGTATAATCTTATATATTTCTTGATCTACTATATATCTTTTACAACAAAGAAAAATTTGTATAACACTCATATATGTGTATATTAACCGATTACTTAGCGAACGCGTATGAAATCATTAAATTGACTGCATGATTCAACAATAAAATGAGCAAGATTCGTTTTATCGTTTTAGCGAAAGTATTTTGTTGCGAAATTATTCAACGAAAGCTATTGCGTAAATTACAAATTTTCACGTCTCCAGTATAATTCCAAAATTAACGCGTAAACTTTCACCGCTTACACCTTGACATCTACCTTTACATTTTTTTTTAGTTTTTAACCCCTTGAGACATTTTAATTATTACGCATCTTATTTTTATTCCAAACTAATTATTTGAATCAGTAAAAAATGCAGCGTATCGCATAAAAAAATCAATTTTTATCGCAGACAAATTTACTTAAATATGAAACTGATTTGAAACAAAGCAAGAAGTATACACACACATATATACGCGCACGTTTACGCACATTCACATTCTCATGTAGAAGAGAGAGAGAGAGAGAGACAATGTGTGCGTGCATGCACGCATGAGTGATGTGGCAATATCAATAACATTATTGGCATAAGTGCATAATTGCAACGTTTCCATTTTAAATATATCATTTATTTGTTTCAAGTGTACCCGTATCATGTGGTATATCTTATTTGAAGTAATTAACGATACTATATTAATTAGATTCTTAATAATTCTGTTCTAATTATATGCCAGGTCTAATGAGTGATTTTTGAAGAAGCATGTTAGGAAAAGCAAGGATAACTTCCGCATTACTTTCCGGACAGAATATATGTAAAATTTATAGAGTGTCTTTTCTGCTTTATCGCTCCTTTTCTCTGCGTTTTTGCAATTTCATTTTTCTGCTATTATTTTTGGAGTCCCAATCATATTATAAAATTATTTTAATACAAGTGCTTGTGTGTATATGTCAAAAAATAACAATTTTCAAAAATTGTTTTATACAAGAGACACTATTCCAATTATTCTAATTGCTGCGCGTCAAGGAGGAAGAATTTTGCGGATTTATAATACAATATAAGATATTTTTCGTATTGTTTGTCAAAAATTATGGAAATTACAAAATTAGAATCATTTTATCATTAAGAATAATTATAAGTAGCGTTTCTTTCTTTCTCTTATTATAAATTAAAAATTTCTCTAATTTGTGTTTATTTTTCAAATTTTCAGAACTTTGCTCGTTCTTTTAAGTTTCCATATTTTAAAGAATATTTTAAAGAAAATCTGTTCAAAGATGGCAATTTGAAATATATAAAAAAATGTATGGCATTTGTTTCTTGTTAAGAAATCTGAGTCAATACACTAATTAAGATCTGTCTGTAATTATTAATTAGAGAGATATATAGAATGATATAGAGAGATATATAGAGTGTGATATAATTAAAAATACGCATTTCTTTCAGACCAGCAATATAATAAGTACGCGATAGAGTCAAATACAAAGAGTTAGAAAGATAAAGAGGAAGGAAGAGAAACGGAAATAGGCAGCATAGTATAACTCCATAAGCGTCTCGTGGAAGAAAACAAGTCAAACAAAAGTTTACGCCAGTGAAATACTTTCTCCTTTCCCCGTTATGAGATCACCATTTCGTTTCTCCGGATCCGGACATAACGAGATATTTTGTGCGCCATTTACAAGTGGATTGAGAAGCCGGCCACCAAACGTTTCGTGGTTCCTATTAAATTAAATTCTATCAGAGATGGTGCGCCTCGATAGGGCATGACCATCTTTAATTCGCTAAGCGACTCTAGTATTTCCTTGTTCCTCACCACGTGATACTCACGCCAATCACCTTTTCTTCCGCGATCAGGAGCATGACGCTATTTTATGCCGTCACGAGTAAACTTTTCACTATTGTTAATTACATTGTTTTGCAGGTTTTAATTCCATTTTTTTATAAAAGTAATAAAAAGTTTGCATTTATATATATTTTTTATAGCTTTCTGACTTAAATAATAATAATTAATAACAAGTTATTAATCCGTCTAAATTCTTTGCTACATAAACATTTTATAATTACAAAAATAATATAGCAATATATATAGCGGTAATAAGGATTTTATAAATGTGCCTAATGTCAAATTTTATACGGAAAAATTGTACGTCCTTCCATATAAAGTCTAATATATTTTTATATATGGTCTATGCACACAATATGCAAATAATGTTTGTTCGCAGTTATTTTCTATGAATTATGATAAACATATTTTTTCAATAATATTTGATATATCAATACTGTATGTGTGCTATTTATATGCTCGTTTCATTATTTTTATTTAATTTTTTTGTTCTTATAGGACGAATGACGATACAGAGAGAAGTGATGTTCCACTGAAATCAAAATGGAAATATCATGGAGAATATAAATATTGATGTATCTTTGGACATTCACGGGTCTAAAAAGATCGGCATGCGGTCGGCTGGTGTTCCATTATGACAACCAATGAGAAAAATAAAGAGAAAGAGACAACAAGGATAGAATATTACAAAAAATTAGCGAAGTAAACATTTTCGCTAAAATGGTCTTCAGCACAATAGTAGTGACATCAGCCTTGAAGGGTGCTATTAGTTTGATGGGCACAGGTTTATGGCTCGTGCCATTGCTAATAGCGGGTCTTTCTTATTATCATTATGATCAATTAGATCCCGAGAGTCGACCTATCGACAGGTATCCTCTGTATTCTAATTACGATTTTATTGTGATTGGCGGCGGATCAGCTGGAGCGGTGGTTGCCAGTCGACTCTCAGAGATACCTGATTGGAATGTGTTGTTACTGGAAGCTGGTCCGGACGAAAATGAAATCACGGATGTGCCATCTCTGGCCGCGTATCTGCAATTGACCAAACTAGATTGGAAGTACAAGACCGAGCCCACAGGCAAGGCTTGTCTAGCTATGAAAGGTGGCCGTTGCAATTGGCCGCGTGGTAAGGTCTTGGGCGGTAGTAGCGTTCTTAACTATATGCTATATGTACGCGGTAACAGACACGATTACGATCACTGGGAATCGCTCGGAAACCCAGGCTGGGGATATAAGCAAGTCCTTTACTACTTCAAAAAGTCGGAAGATAATCGAAATCCGTATCTACAGAAAAGTCCTTATCATGCGACCGACGGTTATTTAACAGTTCAAGAAGCACCATGGAAGACACCTTTAGTGGTCGCTTTCATTCAAGCCGGCGTTGAAATGGGATACGAAAATAGGGACATAAATGGCGAGCGGCAGACAGGTTTTATGATATCTCAGGGAACTATTCGTAGAGGAAACAGATGCTCCACTGCGAAAGCTTTTCTACGACCTGTTCGTTTGCGTAGGAACATTCATACGGCTATAAATAGCCATGTGACGAAAATCGTGATCGATTCGTTGACAATGAAGGCAATAGGAGTTGAATTCGTCAGAGACGGTCGCAAACAAATGGTGAGAGCGCGGAAGGAAGTAATATTGTCAGCAGGTGCCATCAACAGTCCTCAAATATTAATGTTGTCGGGAATTGGACCAAAGGAGCATTTACGGCACATTGGTATCCCTGTTATTAAAGATCTTCGGGTTGGCGACAATCTTCAAGATCACGTAGGCATGGGTGGTTTGACATTCCTAATCGATAAGCCAGTTGCCATAGTTCAGGATCGTTTCCAAGCGGCTCCGATGACGATGCATTACGTGATCAACGGTAGAGGTCCCATGACGACCTTGGGTGGTGTTGAAGGATACGCCTTTGTTAATACAAAATACGCTAATTACTCCATCGACTATCCAGATTTACAATTCCACATGGCGCCAGCTTCTATTAATTCTGATGCGGGAGTGCAAGTCCGGAAAATCCTTGGTTTTACAGACGAAGTGTACAATACTGTCTTTAGGCCGATTACTAATAGAGACGCTTGGACCATTATACCTGTTTTGTTAAGACCCAAGTCTCGTGGTACCGTACGATTAAAAAATTCAAATCCTTTCCATAGTCCTATTATCAACGCAAATTATTTTTCCGATCCCATGGACATTGCCGTCCTCGTGGAAGGTGCGAAAATTGCCATTAAGATCAACGAAGCAAAAGTCTTTAAGCAATTCGGTTCGAGAATTCATCGTGTCAAGTTGCCAGGATGTAAACACTTCAAATTCGGCTCTGACGCCTACTGGGAGTGTCACATTCGACACATTTCTCAAACGATCTATCACCCTGTAGGTACTGCTAAGATGGGACCACCAACCGATCCTACCGCCGTAGTGGATCCAAGATTGAGAGTTTATGGTATCACAGGTCTTCGAGTCATTGACGCATCTATCATGCCGACAATATGCAGCGGCAATACAAACGCTCCTGTCATCATGATCGGTGAGAAAGGTGCTGATCTTATCAAGCAAGATTGGTTGCGACCATCGTCAGCAATTAATCGTGAAAGTGTATACTAACAAAAAATAAACTGTTCAGAAGAAAATTGACTTGTGAATTTAACTTAGAATATGATAATAATTTGACTTGTTTATAAAGATTCTCTTTAAGTATAAACATATTGCACTGATATTATTTTAAAACTAAAGTTAGTATCAAACTATGCGCGTATTCGCGATTCATGAATAGTATAAAGAGATCTGATTGGTCTAGTGAAAAAAAATTAAAAATAATAAAAAATTTTTAATTTTGTAATATTATCTATGTACGATACACTGATGTGATTTTAAAATATCTGGATGGTACATATGATAGATTAAATTGTAATAAATTACAAAGTATAATAATATAATTTTACAATTTTTCGAAGCTTCTTTCACTCATAAACAGTTATAATAATTCAATATCATGTGCATTATTTGCAATAAGATAGTAAATCGTATCGGGCAATATACAATATATAACTTTTTATATGTATATAAAAAAGCTCAGTAATATATAATAATAGAATACCATGTAATACGCAATTTCATAAAAAATCGAAGCAAAAACATTTCAATACATGTTTAAAACAGTCAATTCAAGGTAGAATCACAAGGTTATATAGAAACAATTAATTACAGTATGCATCTCAGGTACAATCTTTTTTATTAAAGTTTTTAAATTTTCTCATGTGCTATATAATATTCTAGTGTATACCAAATAAGTTAACATATATGTATAAGTTTCACTACTTTTAAACATAAATGGTATTATTAAAAAAATATTTTTCAGCATTACATATACATACATATACACGCGCGAGCGCACACACACACACACACACACACACACACACACACACACACACACACACATATATATATATATATATATATTGTATATACTTGCGTGTGCATACATATATACAGAACATCTTGTAATTTAGAGTATAACGGGGAAGATAATATTTTTACATAAAAAAATAAATTGAACATAACATTTTTAGAATAATATTTATTTTTGCACATAAAACTTTGTTTTTAAAAAAATTGACTTTAAAATTTGGAAAATGTACGATGTAATTATGCTTCTTTAAACTTTAACGATTTCTAATTACCTCTCTTTAATAACCAAGCTTCAATATAGAGAAAGATGTACTAAATTGTTTATTTAGTTACTATAAGAAGTACACACACGTATCAAACATATACTGTGATCAATAAAATTGCATCTGTATTTTTGTTTTGTGACTTAAAAACAATTGATTTTTGGATACTATTACCTTAGTAATTACATATGTACATGTAATTACATGTGTACACAAATTTACTACAAGTTGTTGTACATCTTATGTGCGTATATATACAAGGAAATCATAAAATAAGAGTTCAAAGCCCAACAAATAGTGATCTAGTAATAATCTTCGATGCGTCATAATGATAAAAAAATGTCATGTATATAGATATAAATCCTCGAACATCCATGACATCCACATGTCATGTATGTAGATATAAATCCTGCTATCTAAATACATATAAATCTGCTTTCTTTCTAACAATAAGTAATATCCTTAAAATTTTTACTTACAGGAAATGTTCAAAAAAAATATCAAAGAAATGTTTTCCGTTTGATTTCTTTAGATGTTTCAAATATTATCTATCAAAGTTGCCAATTTAGAAGATCTTCACAATTATATTGTTAAAGATTGTCTAAAACAATATGAAAAAATTAATTAATTTTTGTATGTATTCGGTAATCTATGAAACAACACTAGCGAAGCTTATATTCTTACTCAAGGAAATCATTTTCTTCAAGTAAAAACTTTGATACTTAAATTTTTAATTTTTTAGGAAATTTAAAAATATGTATATATACTTTATGTATGTATGTGCGTGTGTGGTACAGGTGCGTGTATGTGTCTGTGTATATGTATAGCATATATGTATAAACAAGTGTGATTATGATTCTAATATACTACTTTATGACTTATTAGTATAAAATGCTAAGGCAATTTTTCAAATTAACAGAGTAATCTTAAAAATTGTTAAATATGTTTTTGTTATGTATTTTCAAAATAAATAAT